ATACTTTTGTGTCCCTTTTCCTTTTTTTCCTGATCAGTCCTACTAGAAGCTTATGCATTTTATTTATTTTCTAAAAACCACTTTTGACTTGATTTTCTCTATTGTTTTCTTGTTTTCTATTTTATAGGTCCCCATTTTGATCATTGTTATTTCTTCCGTTTACTTTGGCATTATTTGCTCTTTTTATTCTCGTTTCTTAAACTTTACTCTTTTCCTTTATTTTTTTTTTAACACTAAGATAGGGTTCCACTATTTTGCCCAGACTGCATTTGAACTCCTGGGCTCAAGTAATTCTCCCACCTCAGCCTCCCAAGCAGCTGGGATTGTAGGTATGCACCACCACACCCAGCTACTCTTTTTTTTTTTTTTTTGTCTAGATACAGTCTATGATACCATTTTCTAATGTAGATATTTAGTGCTATAATTTCCCTCGGCTAATGTTTTAACAACGTTCCATAATTTTTTTGAGATGGGGACTTGCTTTGTCACCCAGATTGGAAGGCAGTGGTGTGATTATAGCTCACTGTAGCCTCGAACTCCTGGGCTCAGTGATCCTTTCATGCCAGCCTCCCAAGTAGCTAGGACTACAGGCATGCACCACCATGTCTAGCTAAATTATCTATTTTTTTTTTTTTGTAGAAACAGGGTCTCACTGTGTTACCCAGGCGAGTCTTGAACTCCTGGCCTCAAGCAATCTTCCTACCTTGGCCTCCCAAAGTACTGGGATTACAGTTGTTAGCCACTATGCCTGGCTATAACCTTTTTTGCTTTTCTTTCTTTCTTCTTTGTATTATTATTGAGACAGAATTTTGTTCTGTTGCCCAGGCTGGAGTGCTGCGGTGTGATTATGGCTCACTGCAGCCTCAACTTCCCAGGCTCGAGTGATGATCCCACCTCAGCCTCCAGAATAGCTGGGACGACAGGCATGTGCCACCATGCCCAGATATATATATATATATAGTATTTTTTGTAGAGATGGGGTTTTGCCATGTTGCCCAGGCTGGTCTTGAACTCCTGAGCTCAAGTGATTTGCTTGCCTTAGCCTCCCAAAGTGCTGGGATTACAGGCGTGAGCCATTGCACCTGGCCAATAACTTTTTTGATCAGCTATAATTATTTGTTTTTTAATGACTGCTTCAGGATTTACAGTGTTATGTCTTTGGCTTGTCTACCTTCAAGTGGTATTATTACTACTTCCTGTACAGCAGTGGCATATAGCAGTGGTTCTCATTTGGGGACAATATTGAGAGACATTTTTAATTGTCATGAGTGGGGGTAAAAGCCATTGATGTTGCTAAACATCCTAGAATGCTAGGACAGCCCCCACCACAAAAATTATCTGGTTCAAAATGTCAATAAGGGCGAGGTTGGGAAAAATCCATATTTCTATCAGGTGTCATTTTTCTTTTGCCTACAAGACTTACTTTAACATTTCTTGTAGTGCAGGTCTGCAAGTGATCCATTATTTTAGCTTTTTAATGGCTGCAAATGTGTTTTGCCTTTGTTCTTGAACAATATTTTCACTGGTCTGGAATTCTAGTTTGGCTTACTCTGTTGTCCAGGCTGGAGTGCAGTGGTGTGATCATGGCTCACTGCAGCCTTGAGTTCCTGCATTCAAGTGATCATCCCACCTCAACCTCCAGAGTAGCTGAGATTACTAGGTTTTTTCTTTCAGTACTTTAAACATGCTGCTCCACTGTCTTCATGGTTGCATCGTATCCAGTGAGAAATTTGTTGTGATCCCCATCTTCTTTTCCATACACAATGTCTTTGTCCTCTGTGCATTTTCTTTTTGAATGTTTTGAGCAATTTAATTATACAGTAGTTTTCTTCAGATTTATTCTGTGGCTTACTGTTCTCCCCTACTGAGACAGTCCCTTCTGAGTATTCTACTTAATGCACAAAGCAATGCAGTGTTTTCAGTCCAGTTTGTGAGAAGAGACACTATTCCTGGCCATGTTTCTATGCCTGGCACCATTCCCTCTAATCCTTTGGGATGGTTCTTTCTTTGGCCTCGGATAACTTTTCCTCATATGCTAATCAGTACTCTGCTAAGTATCCTAGGGGACCCTTCACAGATCCCCAGAATTCTCTGTGCAGGTCCCTCTCCTCCAGAATTCTGTCTTGTGAACTCTATCTGACTTGGTCTCCTTAGATTCTCAGCTGTCTCTGCAACTCAGGAATTTCATCAGACAGCTACACCTGGGTCTCCCATCCCTGTGTAGCTGTCTGGTAACTCTCTCAGGACAGTAAGTTAGGATATTTGTAGGGCTTATCTCATTTGTTTCCCATCTATCAGAGATCATCATATTTCGTTGTTGATGCCCAATGTCTTAAAAGTCATTATTTCATCTATTTTATTTGGGATTATTTCAAGCAGGAGTGTAATTCCGGTTCCTGTAACTCTTCTATGACCAGAAATAGAAGACTGTCCTTCAGTTTTCTTCATGTCTAAGTATTTCCCCTTTTTTAAATTAAGTTTTCTTCTTCAGGAATTATTTAGAAATGCATTAATTTCCAAATGTATTTTAATTTAACTTCTATCTTAATTACAACATGTTCTGTGCAGAAGGCATTGTGCCACACTGTCTGGATTCCTCTTCAGAGGGGCAGGCCAAAAGCCCTCAAATGTCAGCCTTCTCCGGGAACTATCCTCAGCTTTAATCTACCTCACCCACTTAAAGCCCAGGACAAATCCCACAATCCTCCTTGCTGTCTTGCATTGCTGCTGGCTGACTTTTTTCTAATGCATACCTTCACTGAGGGTGTAGCCCTGTAAATATCGGCTTCTTGTGGAGAACTCAGTTCCAACTTTCCACCTCTTGCAAGCCCAAGGACTCAAATCCTCTTCTTGCATGGCTGATAAAATTCAAGTCCATTGGATATCAAATCACCAAACTGCCTCTTGGCAACCAAAGACACCATCCACACACTTACCTTTCTAACTTCCATTTCATCTTCATTTCTGGCTCTAAGGATTTATTTCACTTTCTTGAATATACTTTAAAAGGATGTTTAAATTTTATTCAACATTTCTGTGTGCTTGTAGCCAAAGGGCTTTATGAATACCCAGCTTGCCATGTTATTTTATTCTTATTTATTTATTTATTTATTGAGATGGAGTCTCACTCTATCACCCAGGCTGGAGTGCAGTGGCGCAATCTCTGCTCACTGCAACCTCTGCCTCTCAGGTTCAAGTGATTCTCCTGCCTCAGGCTCCCAAGTAGCTGGGATTACAGGCATGCGCCACCACGGCCAGCTAATTTTTGTACTTTTTTAGTAAACGGGGTTTGACCATGTTAGCCAGGCTGGTCTCAAACTCCTGACTTCAAGTGATCCACCTGCCTCGGCCTCCCAAAGTGCTGGGATTACAGGCGTGAGCCACCACATCTGGCCTATTCTACTTTTTAAAAACATGCTAAATTCTGTAGTTAAACTAACTGCAAATGTGACAGCATTTTCTTTCTGACTCAGTTAACTGCTAATTTGTCATATGATTGTACAAACTTTGGTATAAGTCTCAATAATTTTGTAATTTGTCACAAATCTTCTGTGGGAAGAGTCTTCTGTTCTTCCAAAGGAAAATGGATAATCAGTTTAAAAACAGTCATGTAAAGAGTCAAGGCTCCTGGGCTGGACACAGTGGCTCACACCTGTAATCTCAGTACTTTGGGAGACCAAGGTGGGAGGATTGCTTGAGGTCAGGAGCTCAAGATCAGCCTGGGCAAGGCAACATAGTGAGATTCCTTCTCTACAAAAAAAGAAAAAGAAAAAATCTCAAGGCTCCTAATGGAAAATTTTCTCTGATCTCCATTGCAAAGTTTCATTTTATATCAATTCCAAGGCCCCACTATAGATATGCTCATTTGGTGGGCCCGGGAAATTTCTCTGTAGGTATAAAATTACCTCTTGTGAATCCCAAACTTGGAGTCCACTAGCCTTGGTTTCGGAGACTGGTTACAGCCTTTATATATCTGTAATCCATACAGTCAAATTGTGCCATCTGGATTTGAAATAATCAGAGGGAGGAGTGGGAACTAGTCAGGTCCTGTAACTATGCTGCGCAGAAAGGAGTCTGCCATCTCTTTTTTACCCTCTCAAACCTACCTTCTGGAGCAGAGAGGGACTTCAGAGAACATAGCTGGTTTTTACACAGCCATCTGAGGTCTGCATAGTAGTGGGGGTATGAAGCACGTATGTGGCCAGAGAGAGGGTAAGGCACATAGCCCTCTCAAAAAATAACAGAAGGAAAATTTCTAATCGCTAGAGTGCTTACTTATGTATTACTAGTCTGAAAATTACAAACTTCTTGTAGTGTTTGAATGAGAAACCAGCCAGAATCACTTCTTTATTCTAAAAACAGCCACTATGATGGTTAATATTAGGTGTCAACTTGACTGGATTCTGAGATGCCTAGATGGCTGGGGAAGCACTGTTTCTTTGAGTGTCTGTGATGACAGAAAAGGATGACATTTCAGTCAGTGGACTGGGAGAGGAAGACCCACCCTCAATGTCAGTGGGCACCACCTAGTCAGCTGCCAGCACAGCTAGAAGAAAGCAGGCGCAAGAAGGGGGATAAGAAGCTTGCTGGGTCTCCTGTCTCTTCCCATGCCAAGGGCTTTGCTTCCTCTCTTCCTGCCTTTAGACATTCTAGGTTCTTCGGTCTTTGGACTCTGGGACTTGCACCAGCAGCCTCCTAGAGGTTCTAGGGCCTCTGGCCTCAGACTGAGGCTGCACTTTAGTTTCCTTGGTTTTGAGGCTTTCAGACTGGGACTGAGCCACACTACCAGCTTCTCTCTTTTGCAGCTTGCAGATGGTCTATGGTGGGACTTTGCCTTAAGCCAATTCTCCCTAGTAAAATTCCTTTTATATATACATACATCCTATTTATTCCATCCTTCTGGAGAAAGAACCCTAATATAGCTACTTAAAGAAAAGCAGATTGAACTATTTTTTTCCCACTCTGAACAAAGAAAGTAAGCAAAAAGAAAAAAAAATGAGTGATATTTATAAGAATAGCAGATGTTTATTGAAGGAATTATCATTATTTCCTGTGAAAACAATTTCATGACTCCAGTTTTGTAACATCAGAGGCTATTAAAGACAGTCTAGTGACTAAAAACAACCTGCAATATGGGCATCTTTTAAATTTTATATTAAAGGGAAAAACAATCAAGAAAGGAAGTCTTGCTGAGGGTACAGAGCCGCAATGAAATTTAGTCTTAAGGGATTTAGATTCAACAGCTACTAATTAATCCTAATTACTCAGCTACTTAAAGCTGTTTTTTACTTCAATTTTCTTCCAAGTAAGACCTAACACAGGACATACCATCTATGAAAAAAGATTTCTAAGTACAGGGCGACACTTTCCTCTCTAAGCAGAATTCTTTGTCTTACATATTGCCCTCTAATCAAGGCTATATAAAATGAGATTTTTGTATTTTCCTCTCAACTAAAAAGAGCATATATATTTTGATTCTACACAGGAGCAATTCTATATAACCAGGATGTCTGTGGCTAAAATTATTGCCTCTTTATATTCCTCAGGATATTCAGGGTACTAAAATCGTAAGTGAATAAATGTGAGTAGACAAGAAACCAAATAACAAGAATGAGCAATACACAGTAGTTTAGTGATGTGTATTTCAAAAGCACTGGGTTGGGTTTTTGTGGGTTTTTTGTTTTGCTTTGTTCTGTTTTTGAGACAGAGTCTTGCTCCGTGGCCTAGGCTGCAGTGCAGAGTCGTGATCATAGCTCACTGTAACAATGAACTCCTGGGCTCAAGTGATCCTCCCACCTCAGCCTCCTGAGTACCTAGGACTACAGGTGTATGCAACCAGGACTGATTAGAGCTAAGTTTCTGATGAAGAGAGAAGAAATGGCAGTACAGAGAGGTACATGACTTGAGAGACACATAAACTAGCAACTGAGGAATGCAGACTAAGGACTGCCCTTGGGGAACAGCCAGGTTTCCATTGGAACAAGAATGTGAAGAAAACACATTCATTCAAGACCAGCCTGACCAACATGGTGAAACCCCGTATCTACTAAAAATACAAAAAATTAGCCAGGTGTGGTGGCAGGCACGTGTAATCCCAGCTACTCGGGAGGCTGAGGCAGGAGAATCGCTTGAACCCAGGAGGCAGAGGTTGCAGTGAGCCAAGATCGTGCCATTGCACTCCGGCCTGGGCGACAAGAGCAAAACTCAATCTCATAAATAAATAAATAAATAAATAAATAAATAAAATAAATAAATAAATAAAGCCAGACGCGGTGGTTCACGCCTGTAATCCCAGCACTTTGGGAGGCTGAGGAAGGCAGATCTCCTGAGGTCAGGAGTTCAAGATCAGCCTGGCCAACGGTGAAACCCTATCTCTACTAAAAATACAAAATTAGCCAGGCGTGGTGGCAGGTGCCTGTAATCTCAGCTACTCGGGAGGCTGAGGCAGGAGAATTGCTTGAACCTGGGAGCCGGAGGTTGCAGTGAGCTGAGAGCTAAGATCGCACCACTGCACTCCAGCATGGGCGACAGTGCGAGATTCTGTCTCAAAACAAACAAACAAACAAACAAACAAAAAAACACATTCAAAGAGACAGTTCCTGGTTTCCAGAGGGTATTATGAAAGGGCTTGAAAGGATGGTAAGAGCTGCATGCCTAAACTCTGACTGAGGTAAAAGTTGGTAGCCCTGGGAGACTCCTAGAGAAAGGTGAGTGATCAGTTCAAATTATAGCAGAATGTTTATCTGAAAGGATGCAGGGACCTGTTGTCAAATGTTTATTCCCACAGCTCAAGGCAGGTATTAGCCTAGAAGATGGGTGATGGCCTCCTCAAGGGACTATAATCCTCACTTGCCTGGGGCAAGAAATATAAAGATCTCTAGGTATGAGATGGCATCATATCCTTCCTTGAAGATATATACTGTTGAAGATCATAAAGTCTTCTAAGACAAAAAAGAAAGCCTATCTAAAGAAAGTTTTAGGCACTATGACCTGGTGATGAAAAAATGTTTTGGTCAGAATATCTGCTCAGCAATATATAAAGCATCAACAATTCTGCTCAGGAATGATATACCAGGTTTGTCCCATGAATGCTGCAAATCTGTCCCAGGCCCTCCAAACCCTGCTTGCAATGACCACACAAAGGACTATTATATCACAAATTATGTGCAAACCACTATCCTATCAAAATAGGACAAAGTAAGTAATTTTTTTTCATACAAATATACGACCTTCACCCTTCACTTCTTTCTTTCCAGTAACATCAAAAAGAAATATATATGCCTTAAAACTAAATTACGAGGTACAGAGATAGGCCATAAATCTCATTCACAGAATACTGATAGCATCTTCCCTATAAAACCATGGTCAAATAATTGTTAGATACAATCACCTTTCATAGAGGCAGCTACCCGGGAAAATGCCAACTGGTCTCCCACTCGCATTACAGAACCACCATGGTGGGCAGAGGCACTTTGGTATAATGAAGAAAGCATGAATTTCAAAGTCAGATCTGAGCTCAAATCCTGGCTCTGACAACTTAGTGGCCAGTCACCTAACTTCACTGACACTCAATTTTCTTGTATTGTAGTGGGAGGACTAAATAATGTATTATCAAAAATTCCCCAAACAATAATTCACTATGTGCATAAGACAGACAGCAGTGGGCTTAGGGATTCACTGTATACCCAGAGGAATGGCTGGGTTAAAAATAGGGAGATTCTAAGTATTCCAGATTGACTTTGAGCTAAGCATTTAAAATGTTTTAAATATTGGTGGAAGATAGGCTGAGACCTTCAAGGAGGGCTGGTCATAAAGAAAGGCAGAGGAAGATAGAAAACATCTGTTGTACTGATTGCTCAACACCCCTCCCTCCCTTCTTCAGGGTGATTTTTCTCAGTGACAGAAGGAAGAAACCAGATGAGAAAGCCTCAGCTCCTTTTCCACTTCCCAATTTGATGGAGTTGTGTGAAGGCAAGATGCAGTTGTGGCCACTGTCTTGCCATCATGAGGTTATGAAAAAATGAAAATCAATATGCTGAAAATTATGGAGTTAAGAGAGAAGTTTGATGAAGTGCTGAGTTGCCAAACCAAACATAGCACTGCTTACCTCTAGATTTCCCCTTAAGCAATCAATCAATGTTCTTAAGGTCTAGGCTGCTAGTACTTGGTATTCCGTTCATTACATCTGAAAATATCCCAAGTACTACCTTACACAAAAATTCTCTTTAATCACTCTCCCTAAAGTGTTTAGAAACACTGCTCCAATGTCCTATACTTAAGATTTTATCATTTACCATCTGTCTGGCTTACCATATATTTCATGCATTACTCACTTAATCCTTACAACAACCTTGTAAGGTAGGTAATTATTCCTTTTTTACACACAGGTCTGAGGCTCAGAGCAGTTAAGTGACTTGTCCAAAACTGATAAGCTAGTTCATGGCAGAACTGGGGTTAGAACATGGATCTCTCCAACCCCAAAGTTTGTTCTTTCAGCCTTTCTACTCTCTATACCATGTGAAGGCAGAGTCTCCCACTAGTTTTATATGTATCTAACGTTTTTGAGTCTACAATTGTTTCAATTTCAGTTTTTTCTGGTTGTCTAGACATATATTGAAAAGATGAAGCCTAGGTTGTTTTCCATCATCTGCAGATCCTTCCACAACTGTGGGAAAGGAGGGTTCAGTGAACTTTTGCTGTGTTCTTTTAACCTAACAGTGTTGTTATATATTTTGTTGACAACTCTAAAGTCAGCTTGTCTTACAACTAAAAAAGACAAAGGATTGGTGTTTATGATTTTACTAAACAGGAAACATGCTCTAAAAGGAAGGGACTTGCCTGCGGTTCCACTGCTGCTAAATGCCAATGTCAGGGCGTAATCCCAGGGCTTCGGGCTCTATATACTATGTGCCTTTCATAACACTGCTGAGTGAAAATGAGCATGTCTTCATTGCATTTAAAAAATACTGTGCTTTTTTTCTTGAATATAAAATTAGTATATTCTCATATAGAAAATCTAGAAAGCATAGAAAAGTATACAGAAGAAAATAGAAGTCACCTATAATCCTATCACCCAGAGATGATCACTGTTAACATTTTGATTTACTTCCTTCCCAATTTTTCCTATGCATAAATATTTTTTTAAATTTTGGATTGTATGTCATTGTTTTATCTTCCATCTTATCCAAATCATTTCTCCATGGCATTAAATTGTCTTTAAAAATGTTTATAATGGCTGCAGAACCATCACATGGATAGCTCATCATTCATTTCAACCCTGTAATGCTGAAAATCTGGTTTTCTTCTTTCAGTCATATATGATGCTGCCATGAACATCCCTTTCATTAATCTTTGCCTACTTCTAATTATTTTCCCTGTATGATTCTTAGAAGTAGACTTAAAAAGTTGATACTAAAGAACCACTTTTTAGAAAAGTAGCAGTCAGCCCTACTACCCACAATATTTGTTACCTACAAGGTTTCTTTCTCCTCACTATGTTTTCTCTGGTGTTGAATAAGCTGTGAGCTATACCGATAGGCTTTCCCACACTCACTACATTTATAGGGTTTCTCCTTAGTGTGGGTTCTCAAGTGTAGAATAACTTGAGAAGTCTGCCTGAAGGTTTTCCCACATTCGTTACATTTATAGGGTTTCTCTCCAGTGTGAACTCTCTGATGATCAACAAGGTTTCGATTAGAAGTAAAAGCCTTCCCACACTCATTACATTTGTAAGGTTTCTCTCTACGATGAAGTCTCTGGTGTTCATTAAGGGTTTTCCTTAAGATGAAAGCTTTTCCACACTCATCACATTCGTAAGGCTTCTCCCCAGTGTGAATTCTCTGATGGTCCATAATCTTTGTATTTGAACCACATGTTTTCCCACACTCCTTACATTTGTAAACTTTTTTTCCTCTGTGCATTTGCCGATGTTGAGTAAGGTTTGAACTACGGCTAAAGGCTTTCCCACACTCAATGCAAGTATAGGGCTTCTCTCCAGTGTGAACTCTGTGATGTGATATAAGGCCCGAACTCCGACTAAAGGCTTTCCCACACTCTTTACATTCATACGTTTTCTCCCCACTGTGGATTCCCTGGTGCCGAATAAGATGTGACTTTCCACTGAAAGATTTCCCACATTCACTGCATGTATAGGGCTTCAGTCCAGTGTGGATTCTCCGATGAACAACAAGGTTAGAGCTATGGCTGAAGGCTTTTCCACACTCCTTACACTTATAGGGTTTCTCTCCCGTGTGGATTCGCTCATGTACCGTGAGGTTTGCACTCTGACTAAAGGCTTTCCCACACTCAGTACATACATACTGTCTCTTTTCAGCCTGAACTCTCTTGTTTGTTGCAGGGTCATAGCACTGACTATTGTCTTTTTCAGATTCTTGGTCACTCCCTTCTGTGAGTACTTTATTGTCTTTAACTGTCTTATGTTTGAAATTTCTTGTTTTTCTCCTCATTTTCTCCTGCTTGGAACATACCAGTGTCCTCTCTAGTCTTCTCTTTCCCTTCAGAGGAGCCTTCTAAATTTTGACTTCCTGGGCAACGTCTCTGTGGAATTCTCTTGAAAGTATGTACTTTTCAGGAATGATGCTTTGGAATTAACTCCGCCTCAGTCCCAGTTTCACCATCTGACAGGAGAAACAGAAATTGTACATGTCACCTATTCTCTGTACCAGAGGAAGGAGAACTATCCACGGACCAGATGTGGTAGGCATATGGAAGGGTTAAGTGTTCAAGGGCAGGGGAACAGATCAAAAAGATGACAAAAATGAAGTTAAACATAGAAGCCAATGTAAAGGCTTATGGAAAGCCAGGGCTGAGGGGAGCCCAACAGGTCCAGGATCAGAATAAGCAATGAATTGTATAAAATCCACCCTAGTTCCTTCCTGCCTCATCTTCTACTCCCTGAATTGGAGCCATCTAGCTCCCCTTTTTTTTTTTTCTTTTGAGATGGAGTTTTGCTCTTGTTGCCCCCGGCTAGAGTGCAATGGCCCGATCTCGGCTCACTGCAACCTCCGCTTCCCAGGTTAAAGCCATTCTCCTGCCTCAGCCTCCCTAGTAGCTGGGATTACAGGCGCCCGCCACCACGCCCAGGTAATTTTTTGTATTTTTAGTAGAGATGCGGTTTCACTATGTTGGCCAGGCTGTCTTGAACTCCTGACCTCAGGCAATCCACCTGCCTCAGCCTCCCAAAGTGCTGGGATTACAGGCGTGAGCCACTGCGCCCAGCTCAGAGCCATCTAACTCCTAATGGCAGGCTCAACTATAATCTGGCCCTAGAAAAAGTGAACTGAAAGATGACTGAACTTTAGATCAGTTTGGCTTTTAGTTCTTGCTAACCTATTCCCCTAGTACTAGTGATACTGTAGTTAGTATGTAAAAGGTGCTCAAAATGGTTTTATAGAATAGCAACTAGGATTCTGTCTTAGGTTGTAAGTAGGTTGTACTTACTTACCTTTTGCTCAAGGTCCAGGTACTAGATCCCAGTTTACATCCTTGCATGTAAGCCCTATCTTGTTAAGTGGTGACACAATTCTTCCAATATTAAGCCTAGTCACATCACAGCCTACTTCACAGGGGCTGGCCTGTAGCTGGATCCAGTTTTATATGCAAGTTTAGTCTGTCTGCTTTTCACCATGCTGTCACTCTGACAGACTGAGACTACTTAAGGGGTGAATCTGAGAGTCTAAATTGGGAAAGAAGGTTAGTTAAAGCATGGCAGACGAAACTCTGATAGGACCTTGCATGGCATAATAGTAAAGTATTTAAGGATGGCAAAAGCATCAGAGTAGGGGCAGCATAACCAAGAGATGCCAATACATGAAACCAAACATCAGAATAAGCAGGGATTTCCCAACTGGTTTGATGTGAAACTCTGGACATACAGGTAACCATGGCAGACCTTAGAGGGAGTTGGGATGTAAAATAAAGCAAAAAGATAACTACATGATACTAACACATGACTAATTTTCCTTACTATGGTCCTTTATAGACTTGCCCATATGTATATTGTCAGACAATTAAATATATGGTAGATATTATTTCGCATCCTACTTCTTGTAGTTCATTTATTTTTTAGTTGATAAAAAAGTATATATATATTTATGGCATACAACATGTTTTGATAAATGTTTACACGTGGAACAGGTAAATCAAGCTAATTAACATATCCATTACTTCACATACTTATTATTTTTTCGTGGTAAGAACATTTAAAATCTTTCTTAGCACTTTTCAAGTCTAAATATGTTGATATTAACTATAATTAACCATGTTATACAATAGATTTCCTGAAATTATTCCTCCTAATAGAAGTTTTGTATCCTTTGATCAACATCTCCCTAATCACTGCCTCACTTTTTTTTTTTTTTTTTTTTGAGACGGAGTCTCGCTCTGTCACCCAGGCTAGAGTACAGTGGTGCAATCTCAGCTCACTACAACCTCCACTTCCTGGGTTCAAGCAATTCTCCCTACCTCAGCCTCCTGAGTAGCTGGGATTACAGGCATCTGCCACCGCACCTGGCTAGTTTTTGTATTTTTCAAGTAGAAATGGGGTTTTGCCATGTTGGCCAGGCTGGTCTTGAACTCCTGACCTCAGGTGATCCACCTGCCTTGGCCTCCTAAAGTGCTGGGATTACAGGCGTGAGCCACTGCGCCCAGCCTTCACTTAATTTTTATGCATATTTTTCCACATTGCTATTTAATCTTCATATGATCAGTGAATTCCTTGTAATTTCCTTCCATTTTGCTAGTGTTGGACATTTCTGTTGTTCCTCGAAGTTAACTACTATCAATAATGCTATCGTAATCTCTTTATACACACAAAATTTCCTTCCTATTAAAATATGTTCCTAGGACAAAAGTTCTACAAATGAGTTAATTGGGTCAGAAGGAGTGCAACTGTTGTGCAGTATTGCTTGTTGCTATTCAAAAAAGTTTGATGGGCTGAGCACGGTGGCACACATCTGTAATCCCAGTACTTTGCAAGGCTGAGATGGGAGAATTGCTTGGGCTCAAAAGTTTGAGACCAGCCAGGGTAAGACAGGGAGACTACATCTCTACAAAAAATTCAAAAATTAGTTAGGCATGGTGGTGTGCACCTGTAGTCTCAGTTACTCAGGGGGCTGAGGTGGGAGGATTGCTTGAGCCCAGGAGGTCCAGGCTGCAGTAAGCCCTGATTATGCCACTGCACTTCAGCCTAGGTAAAAGAGCAAGACTTTGTCTCAAAAAAAAAAAAAATGTTTGACCAATTCTCATTGTCCCATAGATTTCTGATAAATGGAGTCACACTTTCTGGAGAAGGGAAATAGCAAATGGTGGTACTCGAGATTGGCAAAAAGATAACTGCACATATTCAAGTTCACATCTCAGAAGTGCAGGTGGCCACGGATTCTATTCACAGGCACATACACACAAACCCATGCCCAAGATATGAGGGATAGGACGAGAGAATGGTGAGGCAGGGTGGATTCTTGCCAGGATCCTGGGCTCACTCACATTCAGCTGCTGCTACTTCTCCTAATCATAAAGGATGAAGCAAGTGGAGAAAACAGTGCAAAGCCAGGGGACTGCAATGCAGAGCAGGAGAACAAGTGAACTCACCTTCAAAGTTCTGTGAGAAAGTTGATAGTTTTTTCTGAATTTCTTTTCAATTTCTAATCTTCTCTGGAACTCCTCTTTTCTTCATACATTTCTTAAACTCATAACTAATGAGCACCTTACTCTGTATATATCCCTGTTCTGGGTCTAACACAGGGAAAATTTAAAGAAGCATTGTTACGGACTGAATGTTTGTGTCCCCCTAACATTTGCATGTTAAAGCTCTAATCCCCAATGTGACTGTATTTGGAGACGGGGCCTCTAAGGAGATAATTAAGGTTACATGAGGTCATAAGGGTGGGCCCTGATCCATCAAAATTAGTGAGTTTATAAAAAGAAACACAAAAAAGCTCTCTCACATGCTCTCCCTCTCTCCACACACATGCACACAAAGGCCATGAGAATACATAGCAAAAAGATGGCCAGCTACAAGCCAGAATGAGAGCCCTCTACCAGAAACCGAAATGACGAGGCACGTGGATCTCACACTTCTAGGCTCCAGAACTGTGAGAAAATAAGTTTTTGTTGTTTAAGCCACTCGGTTTATGGCATTTTGTTATGGTAACCCAAACAGACTAATACAAGCATGAAATATCATACTCCCTTTAAAGAGCTTACAATGGAGTAGTATGGCAAAACAATAAGAGAGCAAATTCAAATTTACAATTTACGCAAGCAGGAGATGAAGGGGACTAGGGGAGGGAGGGAGCAATTACCAAGGCATGGAATGATGGAGAAAAGCATTTTAAAAAGGCAGAATTTAGGCTGAGCCCTGGAGAATAAGCAGTGTTTTCTCAAAATAAATAAATAAAAATAAAAAGGCACAGAGTTGATATACATGAAAATAAATGGGAGATCATAATATTATATAAGCTTCATGTAGGCAGGGATTTTGTCCACCCTGCTTACCCTGTATTCCTAGCACTACAATAGTCCCAGGCACATGGTAAGTGCTCAACACTTGTTGTTGGAATGAACAAAATAAGAAAGAATCAAGCTGCCTGAAGTGGTTCCAACCAGAATACTGAAATTACAAGATGAAAAATATGGATATAAACTGATGGTCAAAGGGAAACCGGTTCTAAACAGAAAAGTGAAATCTATCCTTAATTTTCTTTCTCCATTCTATATTCTTTTTTTCTACCTTGCTATTTTCCACTCTTGTTATTTTCCTTCTTTTTCTCACTTAACAATATAGTTTTTCAAGCATTACCATGCACTTCCCCTAGTTCCCACAGTTCCTCTCCTACCACCTCCCAGAACATTCACGTTTCTCTCAGCTTAATGAAATGGAAAACAGAGGAGACAGGCAGCTGGGATAACCCATGGGGAGTAAATTGAGGGAAATAGAAAGTAAAGAATCCAAGAGATGTCAAGTAGGGCAATCATACATCCTGGTTTTCCCAGAATAGTGCTAGTTTAGGCCTACTATCCCTGCATATTTAATAGTGGCCCCCTTAACTCACAAAAGTATCCCCGTTTGGACAATAAATTTTGCATTACCCTACCCAAAAGTGAAATTAGCAAAAGAACTCTTTAGGAAGATTAGCCCAGATGGATTAGAGGGGGTTAAAAAGAAAAAAGGAAGGGAAATGAATTAGGAGACAACACTAGGAATGCAGTACGAGTGAACACTGGAGGGTCTGGCACGTTGTAGGTACCCAATACATGTTTTTGAATGAATGAACAAATGAAGAAGATAGCAAGATCCTAGTCCAAGATGAGAGAACAGAGAACAATGAAGTCTAGCTATTTTCAGGAACGCATCCACATGTATAACGCACACATCCATATATCCTTTGAATACAGAGGATGGACTGAAGGAAACAATCCAAGGTTATCAGATCCATGTCTGAATACCAAGAATGGTAGCGTCACTAAGCAAGATAGGGACACACAGAAACATTTTAGACAAGGGGAAGAGGAATATATCACGAAGGCAAATTTGAGAATGATAAGACAGAAAGGACAGAGGAAGTCATGAAAATGTATAAACTTACTGAGGGCTGGGCACAGTGGCTCACTTCTATAATCCCAGCACTCTGGTAGGGTGAGGTGGGAGGTCTGCCTGAGCCCAGGTGTTTGATCAGCCTGGGTAAAAAAATTTTAAAAAGTGAGCCAGGTGTGGTGGCACATGCCTGTGGTCCCAGCTACTTGGGAGGCTGAGGGAGGTTGAGGCTGCAGTGAGCCATGATCACGCCACCACACTCCAGCCTGGCAGACAGTGAGACCTTGCCTCAAAATAAATAAATACATTTTAAAAATAAAAAACAGATAATCTTACTAAGAAAGGGATTTGGGTTAGAAGAGTGATATCATTTAGATGTTCCCTCCAAATCTCACATTGAAATGTAATCTTCTATGTTGGAGGTGGGGCCTGTTGGGAGGTGACTGGATCATGGGGGTAGATTTCTCATGAATGGCTTATTGCCATCCTCTTGTGATAGTGAGTGAGTTCTCGTGAGATCATGTTGTTTAAAAGTGTGTGGTATCCCTCCGCCTTGCTCTTGCTCCTACTCTCACTGTGCTCTGCCTCCTCCCATTTCACTCTCCACTATGCGTAAAAGCTTCCTGAGGCCTCCCCAGAAACTGAACAGATGCTGGCACCATGCTTCCTGTACAACCTGCAGAACCATGAATCAGTTTAAACTCTTTTCTTTACAATTTACCCAGTCACAGGTATTTCTTTTTTTTCTTTTTTCTTTTTCTTTTTTTTTCTGGGAAGAAGTTTTGCTCTTGTTGCCCAGGCTGGAGTGCAATGGTATGATCTTGGCTCACCGCAACCTCTGCCTCCTGGGTTCAAGTGATTCTCCTCCTAAGTAGCTGGGATTACAGGCATGCGCCACCACGCCCAGCTAATTTTTTGTATTTTTAGTAGAGACAGGGTTTCTTCACGTTGGTCAGGCTGGTCTCGAACTCCCAACCTCAGGTGATCTGCCCGCCTCGGCCTCCCAAAGTGCTGGGGTTGCAGGCGTGAGCCACCCACCCGGCTAGTATTTCTTTATAGCAACATAAGAACAATCTAACACAAAGGGGCAGGTAAGGAGAAAGAGAAATGCACAGTAATGCATTGTGAAAAAGCCCAGTGTGGTGATGGCGGAGCTGAGGAGGAAGCAGGACCAGACAGGAGATCAAAGAGGGCCAAATGAGGAGAGTTTGATCAAAAAGAAACCCGTTTGCTCCCTTCTGCCTGATTGAATAGGAAATTCCCTCAGAAATCCTGGAAGAATTCCTAGGTACTAAGGAAGTAGGGTCTTGGCTGGGGAAGTTTGGAAGGAAACATGAGGTCATGGGCTAGTAGGACACTAGGGGTATCTGTACAGTTGTACAGAAAAGCAAAATCTCAGATAGCCAGTGAATGTATGAGGACTGATAAGGCCCTGCAGATCTCTAACCCACAAATCTCTGAGACTGGTAGGTAAGTTTTCTAATCCTAGGACCACCATCCATTTCAGGCTGTGACAAATACATAAAGGGTAGAGTCCTACTGAGAGAGAGAGAGAGAGAAAGAAAGAGAGAGAGAGAGAGAGAGAGGCTTTACTTGGAGGCTGTTTTCCTTTAATTCACCAGCATCATCTGCCTGTTCAAGTCCCTCTAAGCAATGGTTACATGGTCCTTGGTTATTGATTAGGTGCAATGGAGTAAGGAATAAGAGGGAATACCTGAAAATGAATTCAAGGGATGGATAAGTGAAATGTAAACATTGAAAGAAAAAAAAGAATTAGAAGAAAATATTAAGGGACTACTTGATCTCAGGGAAAGGCCTAAGCCTCAAGCATAAAACAAAAGCTAATACCATGTGAAAAAGCTGATATATCTGACACATAAAAATTTCTGTATTCCAAAAAAATGCCACAACAAATCTATAATATAGAGTTTGCCTTATACTGGAATTGTTTGTGTGTATGTCTGTGTCCTTCCTCACACGCATACATTAAGCTCTACGCTCTCAGACAGCAGATCCCATGAGATTTGCCTGTAGCTACTACACAGTGTCTGACACAAAGAGGGCTCAGTCAGCGTTGTTTGATTTGAAATGGTAAATTAAACACGTTTAAGATTCTATCTAACACCTGGAGTGCACCTAGGGTTGCTGAGAGCCAAATCCACACATCACTACTGCCATCCCTCCTCTACGTGTTTGTCCTTGTTGTGCTTCATATTATTGGGAAACACCATAATGGTGTGTTTGCATTCTTGGTAATTCTGTCTCAACAGAGCCATCCCAGGGACTAAATTCCCTAAGAGACTGACCTGGTCCCACTATTCAGAGACTCTCAGTATGTCAGAGCTGGAAGGCACCTCCCAATCTATCCAGTCTTACATCCAAATGCACGGAAGGAAAACTTGGAAATTAGAGGAAAACTGGGACTCAAATCCAAGTCCCATGACACCCAATTTTGAGTTCTACTACATCACCCTTATTCCCATCTCAAACAAAACTCTACTCCTCAAGGTCCAGAGGCCCCCTGCCCACTTCAGTGCCTTTCTCCTATTTGACAAATAACCACTGAGAAAAGCTTCCTTTCAACCCTGGTGCCCACAAGCAGGATTCCTGTGCCCAGACCAACTTCACAATCTAGGTCTCACCTGCCCAGGAGAGAATGGAATGACTCACCCATATTCCTGTGCACAGCAGCCTCAATCCGAAGAATCTGCCCAGCACAGATCTTGCCTGATCTCCTCCTTGAGTTCAGTGAAGAAGTTCCTAAGAGGGTCTTGAGTCACTGTAAACAGATATAAATGACTGAGTTCTCTGAGACCTGATCTCCAAGTGGATACTCAGGGCAGTGTCCCATCTTTGGGTAACTTCCCTTCCTATAGAACTGTGGGCAGTAAGAAGGATCATTTCCAGTGTAAAGATGAGGGAATGAAGTTCCCAGGGATTGAACGACTTGCCCAGGGTCCTATAGCTAGTGAGTGATTAAAAAGCCTTCTGTGTCTCCAGGGAATCCTAATTCCATCACACCACAGCCTCCCCTTTTCACCCACTCCATTGATATCTAAAAGCTTCCGTATTCTCATCTAACTGCAAAATACAGTGCAGTGGAGAACTTCTTTGCAATCCAGCTTTCCACAGAAAGTCTGCACAAGGGGGATGAGAGGGAGAACTTTGCTGAGTCAAGTGTCTTTAGGAAGACAGAAAGAAACAAGGCTTTAAAAGAGCACTACAAAAAGAATGTTTCTTTTTTTCTGTTTACCCATTTCTTAGGATTACTAAGCCTCAAATATGTTTTGTGTTTCCCCCTCCAGATCCCCAGACCCTGCTTCTAACCCTTCAAGCTTGTTCCATTTCTCCCCTACCAGAATTTAGTTCTGCCCCGTACACAACCATAACTCCAGGACCTAGCACACTACTAGGTTAGTGCTCAATAAATATTTGTTGAATGAATGAATGACTGAATGAGTAACCTTGGGCAAGACTCCGTTCTCCTCTCTGGGCCCCAGGTTCCTCACTGGTAACGGAAGGGATATTGGACTGGTGATGTGAGTCAAATACTCAGGGGCTCTGGAGTCCTCTGAGAGCCTAGGCAGGACTCGACCGCTGTTACCCGGACGGCCCACTGCTTAGGAGCGGGGACGACACAGTGCTGTCACCACGGCCAGCCTGGTCCAAGCGAGCAGCTACGAGGAGTCGGAGACTAGACTCGAGACAAAGGGGCAGCAGTGAACGAGAGAAGGGGGAGGCCCACAACAACCCTTTGGCTGCCGCGCCCATCTCAGAAGTGGGCAGCCGCAGAGGAGCCCTGGCCTCCCGGCCTGCGTCTCCCACACGCTCCCAGAACCCGGCCCGACCCCCCACGTCAGGCTGTAGAGCACCCCTCACCGAAAGCGCCAGACCCACATCTTGAACAAAGCGCAGAAGGAACTGCGTCAGCAAATCCTAGCTAACTCCCAGCCTCTCCCTCCGGCCCGTCTAGGCTTCATGAGGTTTCCACATCTCTGTGCCCGCGGGTTGGAGTCCCCCCGCCCCTCAGCAGCCCCGCGCGGTCTGCCGGCGTTCTGGCCCTGCCTCCCTTCCGGGCTTTGCCCTATCATTGGATGAAAGGGCTTGGCGACTTCAGCCAATGTGAGGAGGGCCCTGGAAAGGGTGGAAGCTGGGCAGGGTGCTTGCTTAGGGCGGAAAGAGACCGAGCAACTGGGTGGCCAGGCTGAGACTCCCTGAAGTTACACCCCCAGCTCCGGTTGCTGAGCAGAGAGGTCATCTTTCCTTCCACAGATCTGGGTCATTCAGCCTCAAAGCCAGGATCAGCTATGGTTTATTGGCAGCATATGAAAAGATGTTTTGGGTGCCTACTATGTCACTCACTGTTCAGGCGCTGCGGATACCGTAGTGAAGAAAATGAACTCTCTGCCCCATTGGGTTTACATTCAAGTCAAGGGAGACAATGATAAATAAATATGCAGAACGTAGTAGTAAGGGGAGAAAGGGAGATTGTAGTGGGACTATTTTATAGATGACAGGGAGGGCAGAGACAGAAGTCGGCCATTGAAGCATGTGGCTATCTGCGGAAAGAGTATTCCCATAGTGGGCTATTAGAAGCAAATTCTTTAATCAGGAGTCGGGTGGAGAGGTGCACATTAGGACCTTGTAGACTATGATAAGGGCTTTGGATTTGCTCTGCATAACAGTTGGAGGGCTTGGGGGCAGAGGAATGACATGATCTAACTTTTTTCCCCTTACCACATATTCAAAGACGTGTAAGCTATGAGACATGAAAGAAGCCAAGAAGCCTGTTACTATAAATTCTGTGAATTCTTTGCTGTCTGTCCTTAGCCATTCTAACATAAACCTTGCATGAGTTTTGCTCTTTGACTTATATTTTTAGTTTGCATTGGCTGTCCTGTTGAGAACGGTCTGAAGGTGGGTAAGAGTAGAAGCAGGGAAATTAAGAGGCCATTACAATATTCCAGATGAGGAATGATAGTGGCTTGGACAGGCTTAGAAGTGATGGAGGTAGGGAGAAATGGTTCTGCATATATTTTGAAGGCATGGCCTGCATGATTTGCTAATAAATTGAATGTTTGTTACTGATTACTCCATGGTTATTGATCTGAGCAACTAGTATGGGATGGTCTTTTAGAAATGCAGTAGCTTGAAAGAAACAGGTTTAGGGAGAGGGATTAGTAGTTTTGTTTTGGATGTGTTAAGGTAAAGATGCCAATTAAACATCCAAGAGGAAATGCCAAACAAGCAGTTGGAATAGGAGTCTGGAGTTCCATGAAGAGATCACAGCTAAAGATGTAAATTTGGAAGTTGTCAGGACAGGATGAGACAATCTAGGGAATGATTTATCTAAGAAGGAGTCTGAGAATCAAGCTTTTGAGGTACTTCATCAATTGACAAATATTTAATATTTAATATTGTTGAATACTTAAAGTATACCAGGAGCTTTCTTCTCCATTGGCTCATGTAGGTGGCACAACTCCGCCACATTGTATAGAGATTGAAAAAGAGATTCGGACATAAGTCCTCCACAAGTTCACACCCTCAGTTATTGTGGGATGTAGAACTCAGGACACTGTGCTGAAGAGCACAAGACTATTGCCACTACATCAAGAAACTTAAAAAGAATAGGCTGGGTGTGGTGACTCACGCCTGTAATCCCACCGCTTTGGGAGGCCAAGGCAGGTGGATCACCTGAAGTCAGGAGTTCGAGACCAGCCTGGCCAACATGGTGAAACCTTGTCTCTACTAAAAAATACAAAAATTAGCTGGGCCTGGTGGCAGGTGCCTGTAATCCCAGCTACTCGGGAGCCTGAGGCAGGAGAATCACTTCAACTCAGGAGCCGGAGATTGAAGTAAGCCAAGATCGCGCCATTGTACTCCAGCCTGGGTGACAAGAACAAAACTCAGTCATACACACACACACACACACGCATGCATGTGCACACACACAAGAATATTCATGTACATTAAGGGAACTCTGATCTTTAACTTACTTATTCTTCCCTTTCACCTACTCTTTGGGTGGGTGGGACCATTCATTCTGATTCAAGCTGCTAACCCCACATCTGGTCCTAGGGAGGAATGATTACTCCCAAAATTCTAGTCCAGTCATTCTCAAATTTTAGAGAACATAAGGGTCACTAGAATATATGTTAAAAATAGATTCCAGCCTGCCTGTATCCAGCTTCTATTGCTCTTATCCACAAGCATACTTTTTCCTACAAAAATCTATTCATTCAGTCAAGTATAATGTCACTGCTCAGAAATCAGGGTATTTTTTGTGTGTCATAATTGCCTAAATACTCAGCAATTTCCATCTTTATTATGACATCTATCTGCCAAAGAAATTCTAACTCATTTGGGTAAATGAAATAAACATCTAGCTGATCAGGCCTTTTTAAGTTTGTGGACTGTGCCATTTAAGGGGAAAAAACATTGTGATTTTAGTCAGTTGACAATTCTTAACCAGGTATAATTTCAGAAATACCCATAGGCCAGAAAGGTGGGCCATCATACGTTGCTCTCCTATTGTGTTTTCACGTAAAGCACTCACATGCCTTAAAAGGGAGTCTGCAACTCACCCTACTTGGCATCCACCTGGGTAAAGTGACCCTGTGCATATATTAGTGGAGGACTGTTATGGTTTGGTGAATAATAAATCTAAAATGTCCTATCCTGGATCAAGTACTAGCACCACTAGGTGTTTCTTGAGCCAGCTGTAATTATAACACCTTCCTGTACCCAACTGTGGCAAATTCTACTGGTCCCCATCAGGGCAGAACATGACCTGATGTTAGGGATAGGGGATTTACTTTCAATTTTTTTATAGTGCCACCATGTGCATATTCACAATGGACAAATTCACAATCTGTCCCTAACCCCTAGAGGTTTTCAGGAATGCTTGCTTTGTAGTACTCCAGAAAAAGGTCAACACCTTGACAGAACTGTCTCCGAACATGGGACAGTACTCAATCACTTGTTAACATCCACCATCTCTTGACCTTTCCTACTGGATTCAGAAGCTGAATGACCAGGGCTGGAGTTTATGACAAAGGTTTGGCTGTAGAATATTTTCATTGCATGTTTAAGAGATAAGTGAGTAAGTATACCACTCCTAGCACCTTTACCATGTGTGACCACCTAAACTGTCTCCTGGGTTTGAATTCTGTTTGACTAAAAAATATATATATTAAATTGGAAGTTCTGTAACACTGTTTACTGATACCCTTTTTTGTGGGTTCCCTCATGTACCAGAAACTATGCGTTGTATAACAAAACTTTTCCACTTCAGGAATATTTTTCAGAAATATGTGCAAAATATGGAAGCTCATGATGATTTCTTGACCTCTAAAAACCAAAAATTTCTCTAACCCATATGATTTATCTGATGTCAAACAAAGTCTCTTGTGTATGATGTTTGCTACAACTGAATGGTTTTTCACATATCTTAAGAATAGGTTATCTGGGCTGGGCATGGTGGCTCACACCTGTAATCCCAGCACTTTGGGAGACCAAAGCAGGAGGGTTGCTTAAGGCCAGGGGTTCAAGTCTAGTCTAGGCAACATAGTAAGACTCCTGTCTCTATAAAAATTTTTAAAAATTAGCCAGGTGTGGTGATATGCGCTTGTAGTCCTAACTACTCAGGAGGCTGAGGTGCAAAGATCCCTTGAACCTAGGAAGTTGAGGTTGCAATAAGCCATGATCACACCACTGCACTCCAGTCTGGGTGAGAGTGAGACCCTGTCACTTAAAAAAAAAAAAAAAAGATTTTGTTTCCAATGTGGAGTAATGACTTGTGACTGAAGGGTTTTCCACATTCAGTTCTTTCACAACCAAGCTATTTCCAATGAGACAGAGAACTTGGAAGGAGGCTCCGCTGGATAACTAGCCTGGAGGCTGAGCCAAAAAGAAAGCTAGATATAAATGCTGGCCCTGAGTGAAAAATTTTCAACCAGCTTAGCAAAATGTAAAACTGCTTTTCTACTGCTGAAGTGCACAGTTACGTAAATTTACAACTAGCCTTCTAGCTTCAGATCTAAAGGGACAGTTTTAACAGCACCTACTTGGAATATAAAAGGAAATCCACTTTCCCTATTTGCAGACAAATATTAGGACTGCATTCATCATTCACTAATGAGGAAAAAGCAAATGCATGTGAAGGCAATGCAAAGCCTCGGCAACTTAAGGCAGTAAAAGAACATATGAAAAAAATATTCAAGAAAAATGAAATTCAAAAAGAGAAACAAAATGCACTGCCTTCAGTAATCCTGAAAGTAAACAAACAAACAAACAAACAAACAAAACTGAAAGGAAACCAAAATGTAAAACATTACACAGTTGGCCCCCTGTATTTGTGGGTTCTGCCTCCACATATTCTGAGGATATGGAGGGCTGACTGTAAGGGAGCATCTGAGGGCTTCAATATCCGAGGTAGGGGCATCCTGGAACCAATTCTCTGTGGATACGGAGGAATGACTATATATGGAAAAGGAGGTCTAATTACATATACAGAACAGAGGAAAATAATCTTACAGAATACTAGGTGTAACTTTATGCCAATGTTTGACAGAATAGTAAATATGATTTCCAGATATATATTAGAAAAATTTACACAGTAGAAAACCTGAAGAACAAAACCATTGAAAAAACCTGCAAGGATGCTAGAATAAGTCCCTCTACCCTGACACATCCAAACACCAGTAAAAAAGCGTATGTATATATGATGTGTCATTTCTAGCTAGCCTTCAAGGAATAACTGCTATATTACACACACTCTTCCAGAGTAATAAAAGAAAAAAAACTTCCAAATTCATTTTGCACAGCCAGCAAAACATTGGCACATTGAATCTACTTCTGAACTTAAAAAAAAAAAAAAAAAAAAAAAAAAAAAAAAAAAAGGCCAGGCGCAGTGGCTCACGCTGGTAATCCCAGCACTTTGTGAGGCTGAGGTGGTTGGATCACCTGAGGTTGGGAATTCGAGACCAGCCTGACCAACATGGAGAAACCCTGTCTCTACTA